AAAGAAACTTCGTGAATTAATTCAAAAAAACATCGGTAAGATATGTTTGACTACTGATATGTAACGTCATAAAATTTCAACCAAAAATTTTCATTTTTACAATCATCAAAACATGAGTAATAAGTTAGGTTCCAATGTAACAATTTTAGTCACAACCGATTACATAACAAAAGATAACAAAATGTTTTCCCCGAATGTGTGTACGGTCACGCTGGCGCCTTCCCACGGTCCTCGCTAGTACCTGAAACACATAACACAACAACTGTAAGCATAAAGCTTAGTGAGTTCCCCAAAATACAACCTACGCACGTACGCCTTTCCAGACCTTGACCTTCCGGTCCATGTGTCTCAGGGGACTTCCGTCCCGACTGGGTAAACCTTCTGGTCCTACCCACGTCAACCTTACAGTCCATATGACCACGCCTTCCGGCCCATATCATGTTGCCTTCCGGCCCAAATCAAACATATCATACATGGCACATATAACGAATAACTTAACACACATAAGGCATATATCTCATATCATATTCGACCTTCCGGTCACACGGTCAAAACCCTTCCGGGTACAGTATAGTGAGAAGACTCACCTTGTATGCCTCGCTAAGTTGCTAATCGTGAATCCTGGAATCACTCGGGCTCGAACCCTCGAGCTGCAATCCTCCTATGATATTATAAATCTATAATTATTACTTGTACCACAAAGGTGGACCATCCTTATCAAGTCAACGCAGGTTGACTTGGTCAACAGTCTTTAGTCAATTTGGACCGGACTCGGCGAGTGCACAATAGTGACTCGGCGAGTCTATGCATTATAACCAACTCTCAAGGTTTTCCCCTTTGACTCGTCGAGTACTCCCCCGACTCGACGAGTTCCTCCTGGGCCTGAATCACAGGGCCACCGTGACTCAACTCGGCGAGTCCCAACCTGACTTGGTCCACCTGTCAAAGCCTTTCCAACTCCCTGCGACTCACTGAGTCGCCCATAACTCGGTCAGGACTACACACAGGGTGGTCTCAAGGACAAGCTTCAAGCGACTCGTCTAGTCTGTTCTTCAGACTTGGCGAGTCCATGCCATGCACCAGCTAAAACTAGCTTTTGCGGTCAGATCCGTTCCATACATTCATAGATCTGGGCTTCCCAAGCTTATTTGTCACGTAAAGTCTCAGTCTTGGTTGCCATGCAATGCATACAAGGCTTATTTTGAAGAAACAACCTATAATATGGCAAGTTTAGCTTCTAACTCAAAAGAATGGACATAAAGCTTGACATATGGGGTCTCCTGGACCTGCTAAGGTCCAGATCTAGGTTCCATATCACCATGGGATCTCTCATACTTCCGATTCAAGCCAAGAAATGCAAGAAGAAACCCTAGATTTGGCACATCAACACAAAACACGAAGTTTGGCTCTGAAAATTACCTCAAGAAGACTCCCTTGATGAAATAGCAACAGATCCAAGCTTCCCAACTCTTCAAGCTTGATCCTCTCCCTCCTTTCCTTGCAATATCACACAAAATGATGAACAAATGGCCTCCAAACACACTCACAAGGGCTCACAGTCATATGGGGGCTCTTAGGGTTCAAGGTGGCCGCAAATGAGGGCCATAAGGTCCTTTAAATAGGGCTTAGGACCGGGAAATTAGGGTTTCATTAAACAGTGCGGACTCACCGAGTCCGGACGCGAACCCCCGCCCAAAACCGCGACCCGACTCGGCGAGTTCGACCTCCAACTCGCCGAGTCCCCTCACAGAATGTCAAAAATATGAAATGAAGGTACCTGGGGATCTGGGCTGTTACATGATACTTGGACATCCATCAAGAAAAAAAGTTACATGGCTCTTATCGCCCATTTTGTAGACAATAATTGGAACTTGAAAAAAAAAGTGTTGAATTTTTGTCAAGTTGATGGTCATCGGGGGGTTGAGATAGGAAAAGGAGTAGAGTCTTGTTTGAATGAGTGGGGAATGGATAATGTTTTGACAATTTCGGTTGATAATGTGAGCGCAAATGATAATGCAATTGGTTTTTTGAAAAGAATATTTTCAAATAATCATAATTGTTTGTTGCATGGAAAATGGATTCACATGCGATGTGTGGCTCACATTTTGAATCTAGTAGTACAAGATGGTATTAAAAATATTGATAAGTCAATTGAGAATATACGATGTGCAATTAAGTGGATTAAAAATTCGGGTGCTAGACTTGAGAATTTCACGAAATGTGCTGAAAATGCTAGATGTGCAAGTACAAAACATTTGATCCTTGATGTTGCACATAGATGGAATTTCACCTACGAAATGTTGGAAGTAGCTCAAGCCTATGAACAAGCTTTTGATAGGTATGATTTGGAAGATGTGAGTTTTGGTAATGAAATACGCAACAAAGGTCATTCGATTCCCACATCAGAAGATTGGACAAAAGCTAGAAAGTTGTGTTAATTTCTCAAAACATTTCATGATGTTACATTGAAATTTTCCCAGACAAAGTATGTAACATCGCACATTCTTGTGGTTGAGTTAGCTAAAATACGTAATATTTTGGTAGAACAACTTCAATGCGATTATTTAGAAGAAGAACCAGCAGATCAACATCTTTATGATATTGCTAAGGTGATGAAACCTAATTTCGACAAATATTTTGGTGATATTGAAAATATGAATTTGTTGGTATATTTTGCCTTCATACTTGATCCAAGAAACAACGAAGAATTTTTGGAAATTATTTTGGATGATCATTATGGGCTTGAAGGAAAACCAGTTGTTGAATTAAAGAAAATGCACATAAAGAATGAATTAAAAGCTTTGTATGAAGATTATGTGAGAATTCATGCCCCACCATCTACTACTTCTTCAACTTCAACATCAAGAAAACGGCCAAACCCCAATAATCCTACATCTACCACAACAAATTCCGATCATCGAGATAGATTGAGAAATAGGATGAAAACGAGCCAAACATCCTCATCATCAATTAGTGAATTGGATAAGTATTTGGGTGAAAGTGTTGAAGATTTTGATACAAATGGTAGTTATGAGATATTGCTTTGGTAGAAGGTAAATAGCCCGAGATTTCCAATTTTATCTCTTATGGCTAAAGATTTGTTAGCTATTCCCATCTCAACCGTGGCTTCGGAGTCGGTATTTAGCACGAGCGGAAGGGTGTTGGATTCATATAGGAGTTCTTTAGGCGACAAAACTATCGAAAGCCTAATTTGTACACAAGATTGGCTTCGTAAAAGTATTAACACAGAAAAAGATGAAGTTTGGGAAATAATAATTCTCCTAGAGAAAGGTACTTTCAATCATCTATAATTTTTTTTACTAAATTTACCTTATTATATGTTGCTAATTATTTTTGTTTATGTAGCTTTGCTGGAACAAGAAGGTGCAAACTTATAATTTTGAATCGTAAGAGATGAAAGAAAGGAAGCTTGTTTTGCCAATTCAATTATTTTGGATATAAACACTTGATTTCAAACTCATTTGGTTTTGTTGCTAATATGTTAAACTATTGCTCGTGACATAAATTTTATTATGGAGTGTTTCAACAAGTATTTTATATTATATTTTTGCGATGTATAAACTAACAAAATACAAATTACAAGAATGCAAAATATATATATATATATATATATATATATATATATATATATATATATATATATATATATATATATATATATGATAAATGCTACTATTCACAGTGAGTTTGTGAACTCACAGAGAACCTACCAAAATTCTAGATATGTGAATTACAACTTTTGTGAACCCACGTTGGGTATCCATGTACAAACTCCACAAAAAAAGAGAACTTTTTAAAACATTACATTTAAGGTTCTTATACTTTTACATTATTTGCTAAAATAAACAAATATTATTTTATTTCTAGTTTAACCCGATTAACCAGGCTAACCCAACCCGGTTAATCCGAAACCCGAATAACCCTAACCCGACTAACCCGAACCTTAATAGGGTCGGGTTTAGGGTCAATTTTTTTTAAAGAAAAACCCGACTAACCCGACCCGTTTAACCCGAAACTCAATCGGGTTGACCCAATTAACAACCCTACACATGCATATCTCATTCGTTTAAATTCGGATTGACATGTGGTTTTTTCTAAAGTGTAGTTTAGAGTTTGTACATGAATTTAGACTATAATTTTGTCAGTTTTGGTTTCATATTCAAGGACTTATAGTGCCCCGAAGTTGGGATGTTAATATGAAAGTTTTTAAAGTTCAACCCACTAAGTATAAGTAATTACCAAAAAATTACGGGTTTTTTGGGTTTTCGGGTTCTAAACCCACTTTATCCTCAAACCTACCCACTTTGATGTATCCGAGTATCCGGTTGTAGACCTACTTTACCTGGTATTATACCCGAAACCGAACCGGAACTGGTTCCTATATATCGTTCCGGTTTTCGGTTCTACAAAATCCCGTTAACCGGTTCCGAGTTTTCTGGGTTCGGGTCCATCCGATCCGGGTTTGGACCCACTTTTATCCCTAGTTGTATGTGTTTAAGATTTAAGCTTTCATCTTCCTCAAACTAAGCTTGGGGTTTTCTAGAAGTACATTAAAATATTGTTTCCCTATCCACTTGTTACTAAGCCAATTTTAAAAACTCTGCCACTGTTATGAATTGATTTAAGTGGCTTAATCTGAAAAGTCTTTTCCACTTGCATCCAGGAAGCCCATAACCTAAAAGAACATGTAGGTTCTTTACCTTTGCAACACTTTACTAGAAGTATGTTTTTATCATTCTTTTCATACTACAAATCATAATCATGCTTAACATCATAGTTGGTAAGATAATCTTTGAGTTCACTAGGATTGGTGAATCTCATAGCTAACACAGGAGCCATTTGATCCGATTGTTGCTCAGAATTGTGCATAGGGTATACAAGAGGTAGTTTATCGACATTAGGATCTTCTTCCTCTTCATCAGTTGGGCAAAGTTTGTTTAAAAACCCGTCTTTCTTATGAATACTTGCTTTTTCCCTTTTCATATAAAATCCTCATCATCCACCTCGTGTTCCCAACCTTCTTTATCTATTACATCATCTTCATCTTCATTGGAATTGGTACCATCTTCAACTTCAGGCTCTTCCATTTCAATCCAATCAAACAGGGGTTCATGCATATGGTCCACATACATAGTTACTTTCTTTTTCTCATGAAGATACTCAAGAAATTCATGATAATCACATTCATTTTGCAATGTAGCCAATCCTTGACACAATGTTTGGTCATCTGGACAATAGTATACATCATTGCACATCCTTTTAGTAATCAGGTCTAGATGAGGAATGATTTCGGAATACCCAATACCCATGAAATCGACATACCTTATCTCCTTTTAATCTTAATCAAAATACGTAAATGGTCTTGGGAAGAAGTTCCCGTTGTACTGGACTTCAACAACCAGTGTATCATCTTCATCCATCTGATTATGGATTGCTCGAAGAAAGAACAATGGTGATGATTGCGTGAGAGTGAAGAGAAAGTGATGGGGGATTCTTCTTGCCCTAATTTACGGAGACCAAATATACACATAACACTTAAATGCCACATAACCATCCATGTAATGACCTAATAACCACTTACCACTCGTACATACCATGTATGCACTATGTAATCGGTTAAACAGGAAGAAACCAGTAAAAGGGACTATTTATAAATGGTTATAACAACCTTATTGGTGTGATACATACAAAAAATACATTAGGGACCTAATATGAACAAACAGGAAACCTTATTACCCTCCTAAGTCATTAACCCATTCATAAAAAATAAATATTATGTATATAAAACTTTATCCATATATTTATTTTTATCAATGTAATCACTTTATCCATTTATTATAAGTTATAACATTTGATGGACTAGCTTAAAAGCTAGTGGCCGTGTGATAAATTAGTTGATAATCAATAAAGTAACATTGATAATTATTAGAGGAAAAAAGAACAAAACAATGTGTTCCAACAACTCAAATCTTAAAATGATGTACAGATTGTATGTAAAAATATATTATATTTTAACGAGAGTAATCTAAATGAAAGTTGTAGTAGACTCAAATACAAACGAGTGGATATAAAGATCGTTAAGATATGAGATTGTATGAATTAGTTACGATATTCAAAACATAAGACCTAACCAAACAACAAGACCTAAATAACCAAGCAGTCGAGGCCACGGTGACCATAAGCATCAACAACCACGAACACCTCATTAATGATTTTCCTATGTAGGATGTCGTGAGTAAAACGTGAAAAACTGGTCATGAATATTAAATGTGTATAAAATCGACCAGGACTTATTTTGCAACATAAAAAATATAATGACTAAATGTGTACAAAGTGAGAAATATATTACGATATTATGTCATTTCCCGATTTACCTGAAGTAGCTGGTCGTAAGGATTGAATGTGTACAATTTAAACAAGTTGAAGGGATAAAAGTGGACGAAAATCTCAGTGACCAAATGTGTACAAATTGAAAAGTATATTACCATTTTAAGTCATTTTCCTTATTTAAAAATATATGTGGTGTGAAAATACATTTGTTGTCAGATGACTTTGTCTTGTTCTCTCATTCAAAAAATATTTTTTTAGATAAGTCTCTTAAGGGACATGTAACATCTGTTTCCCAGGCATTCCCTTTTTATATTAAGTAGTACTTTCTTTTGCAAAATGGCCATATGCAGGGCGTAGGATTGCTTCCTATGCAAGGCGTAGGAGGTATTAAGGACATGGGGGCTTAAAGCCTTATGTAGGGCGTACCAATCCCTACACAGGGAATATGTGTGCAGTATCCAAACCCAAAATTTTAGGGTTGTGGCCCTATTTAAGGACCTTAACTCCCTTGAGGCCTCTCTAACCTCAGCATCTACTCTCCCAAATAGTCATTTTGAAACCCTAATCCCTTATGAGCTAGTTTTGAGGTTTTTGAGTGTTTTTGGTGCATTTTGAAGAAGGAGAAATCCATAATTGTGGATTGGTGTGGCTCAAGCTTGAAGATCTTGAGCTTTCATCTCAGTTTCCAACTTCTGAAGGTATAAAGTTCTCACCCTTATGATTCATTGGGTTATATCTAGGTTAGCTTGTTGATTTTCATACTTCGAGTCCCATGATTTTGGTTCTTGAGAGTAAGAGCTACTTCAGAGCTTAATGTTGTAATTTCTTGTTATTTCGGAGGTTCACATGTCATAAAAAATGGGATATGGGTTGCTATCTTTCACCCATGCAAGGTTTGAGGTTATTAGAGGATGATATGGAACTAGGGTTTGGTATTGTGCTCCATTAAGCCATGCAAAGGCATAAATTTGGGAACTTTATCACTGTAGACGTTTATTAGGTTTAGAGTTAGGAGTTGGACGTTTGGTCTTAAGGTATTAAGGATTTATTGAGAAAGTTGGCAAACAACATTGGTACTAATAGCGTAATCTTGGCTATGCAATGTGTTACCTGATTTTGTCTCGATTTCCATTCAAAGGATCTACATTGGGGTAGAGTATGGTACACATGATGTACCTCCTAGATGTTGACTTTTGGTTAAAATGGACTTTAGGTCAAGTTGAGTGGATCATGGCCATGGAAGGGTAAATATCCTTTTACCCTAGAGAGAGAAAGTATGTAATGGTCCCTTGATTATGGATTGTCACTTTAGTTGCTAATTAGGGTTGTTTCAGATATGTTTAGTGTGAGGAGTTTTTGTAGCAGCAACTCGAGTGTGAAGTTTATCTGACTATCAATTGAGGTGAGTCTTCTCACTGTACTTATGGGTTGAAGACACCAATGTCAGCCCACTAGATTATGTTATGTAGAATGCTAGCTGTCTTTTTGACTCTTGCATGTAGGATTGGGTTGAAATACACCCCAGGGCTGGGCCTATTATTATATATTTCGGTAGAGATAAACCCTAGGGTTGGCCCCATTATGGTATGTTTGGGTTGAAATATACCCTAGGGTTGGGCCCATTATTGTATGTTAGGATAGAATATACCCTAGGGCTCGGTCCACTGATTAATATGTGTAACGCCCGTAGATCCGGGCTAGTCAATTTAGAGATAATAGGGGTCGAAAACTACTTTTCGACAAAAGATTATTTATTCTAAATAATCTTAACCAAGTTGTAGAATATGTCTCAAGGGTTCCGTACATATAAAGAGCGCCGAAAACCGAGTTATAATGAAAAAGTTATGACCCGTCGAAGTTTCGCGACGGAACCGACACGACACCGTGAAGACGTAAATAGTGAATCTATGATAGAGCGACTTTTAGCCTTAGTAATCTAAATGAAAGTCGTATAATATGTTAACTTGAGAGCGTCGATAAAAAGAGCACCCAAATCTAACTTCGTATGAGGAAGTTATGATTTTTCGAAGTTTCGGCTTAGCGGTGTACAACCCGAAGTTCGAGTATTAGATCGAGCAGTTTTTAGCCGACAGAACCTAAACGATAATCGAATATCTCATTATTAGTAGCGTAACGATAAAAAGACAGATGAAAATGGACATCGGATGAAGAAGTTATTAGATTTTAACGGACCAATCCTGTCCCGGCCGGTTAAAAATATAACTTTAAAAATAAAGTCAAAATTAGCCGATGGAGTCTAAACGAAAGTTGTAAAGTACGTCTCCCCCTACACGTGGATATAAATAATGTCAAAAACGGAGTTTGTATGAACGAGTTGAAAATTATAATAGCATATTTACGTATTAAAATAAAATATAAATCATATATACGTACACATATATACATATGTATATATCATTAGAAAGGTATCGACGATGCGGTCATTATAAGACTAATGTTGAGTTCTTTCGACAATAGTTTAGTACAAATATCGTTAAATCTATTTAAGATAGTATTATAAATGGTTGTTTATTTGTTTATATAACTATAAGGTCATTAAGTGATTATGGAGGGTGGTTTTTGAAAATTCAATTAGTATAAATAAGGGCCTCTAGCTCTTATATTTCTTTCACCATTCTCTTGATTTAAGAGTCTTTCTCTTCTTGTCCCCCGAGCATTTCGGTCCCTCGTGATTCGACTTCTCTTTCTGTAGTTTTAGTATAGTAAGGTGAGCGCCGAAGCATTGCACAAATCTTTCTTAGAAATATTCAACGACGAAGTTCTGCCCCTGCAGACCCTGACTCCTAGCTAAAACCCCCTTGTAAGTAAGTTATGCTTACCCTATTTTAATATAGCTTATATTTAAAATTAGTATTGTTATTATGAACTTATAATAAATATTTGAGCTATTATTATATAAGTGTCGTTATAATATCTTTTTAACTACTCGCGATATGGGGAATCTGGTTTAAAGGGCCACTTAGGATTGTTGGATTTCAGAAGTGTTATATGCCAAAATGGTCTTGCCCTCCGGTGTTTTATGTCTGGCCCCTGTCTATACATAGTGGTTGGAAAGTATTGTTTAAACGCTTATATTATAATAATAATAATAATAATAATAATAATAATAATAATAATAATAATAATAATAATAATAATAATAATAATAATTAGTCACGGTAAATATTAGACTAAAATCTAGTGGTAATAATACTAGGTTCCGTCGAAGGAAATTATTTTAAAGTAAACGAAGCGTTGTCCGAGTACCGAGTCACCACCTTCTTAGGTGAGTGCATAGTTACTTTCATCTTACACATAGATATGAAGTATTTTATATAAATTACGTGTTATGTGTGCATATTATCTGAGTACTTGTTGTCTATGCTAGATGAACGATTTTATACATGTTTTAAATGATTTAAACTGTATATGTATTTCATATCTACAATAATGTTAGGGTAAAACATGGGTAGATGTAATAGATGGAATATGAGTTGGATGATGAGTTGAGAGGTGTTATAGACCACGAGTTGAGGGTGAGAGGTGGACGATGTGAGAAGCCTTTTCCAAATGATGGCCCCGTCATTCAGCAGAGTATGGATGACAACCATAGACTATTTTAGACAGTCCAGTAGAACACTAGCAGGCTCGCAACCTGTAGGTGTTGTGAACGATGTGATCACCCGGTGTACTATAAACCCTGGCGTCCATGCAGACTTGCTGCCTAAACCCTGGCGACCATGTGGACTTGGTGGCTAAACCTTGGTGATCATGCAGACTTGATACCTAAACCTTGGTGATCATGCAGACTTGATGCCTAAACCCTGGAGACTATGCAGACTTAGTATCTAAACCCTGGCGACTATGCAGAATTTGTGCCTAATCCCTGGCAACTATGCAGACTTATTGCCGGTTGTGTCAACCGTGGCAACGATGGATTTCGTGTCGATTCCTTAGGATGACCCTTAGGAATGAATGA